GTGGTGTGCACGACTACGTATCCACGATTTTCTAATTTTTGTTAGCCAAACTCGCCATCTCGATTGCTCGTAAGATGAACGCTCTGATCTTCCTCGTTCCAGAGGATATTGTCGACATACGTTCCAAACTCGTACGTAGCACCCTATCACTGGTGATTCTACTCATCACACCTCCAGATTCTCACTTTCGTTGGCAGTCTCATGAGCCTTCGCTCTTGATCATACCCAAGGGCTCTCTAGCTCGAAATCAAGGCCAATCGTTTAATATCATCCAGAGTTTGTACAAAAGTGATAGGATATATATGACAACAATGAATCAATCATTGCATCGGCCCAAGCCATACCTGGACGCATATAAGAGATATCAGAGTTGAGCTACGCACGACTCTTGATGGATTGCAGTAATGCCTGGCGTTGCGCAATTATACCCGCATCGATTCCATACCCTGCGCCTCCAGCAGAAGGCGTTTGTTCCTTCTCTGGTATGATCAGCGGCTTAGGCACTGGTCTTATTGGCCCCAGCTTCGGTGATTGTCTGACGGGTATGATGAATGGACGAGGAGCGGGTTTGACGACAGTTGGCTTTGGCGACGTGGCCCTCGGGATTGGCTTTGGCGACTCAGCCCTAGGTACGGGTTTCAGGGGCGGCGCAGGCTTTGGAGATACGGATGTGGACTTTGGTGCGGGTCTTAGGAGCGTTTCCCGCCTACGAAGAGCCGGAGTCGTCGATCGACTGGGAACTTGAGTCGTTGGCACTGCTGACTGGGGTCTCTCGGGCGCGACCTTTTCCAATGCCTCCAGGATGATCACACCACTCTGTGAAAAGGCATATAAGTAAATGATTGAAGATAAAACAAGTTAACCCACCTTTACATCCTCGAAAAGCTTGAAGGCTCCTATCTCCATCATTTTATTTTTCAAACCCGTGGCTCGATCTTGCTGACCATTGGGAGCCTTTCCGACTTTTTGCCCTATCACAGATGGAGCAACGCGAGTTACTTCGTCATCGTCCACGGAGACAGACATGCTACGGCTCCTAGAGTAAGGAGGGGGGCTGGGTTGTGACCTTATGCTCATTGGAGCCGGTAACGACGATCTTCGGAGCGGAAGCGGCGTGGTGAAGACCGCCGTGTGCTTCGGTAGTACCTTGGGCTTGTCTGAAGTAGCCAAACGAATGATCTGGCCGATCAGCGAAAGGATGAGGTGTTCTCGACCTTCTGCAATGTCCTGACCGCTCATGTTGACCACATTAGCACCGATTGCCTGTGCAGCGAGGATTGCGATATTGTTGTTCTCTGCGATTTGGAACTTGTTGAGAGGATGTCCATTCCTCGGAAGGTTGATGTACGAGGTTCCTCTCAGCCTCCGAACGCTCATAACACTATCAATCGTCCCAGGGAAGATGTGCTCAATAAGCTTGCAAATAATCAGGCCGTCTCGACATTCGTCAAATATTTGCATGGTGTCCGTCGGCAGAGGCATTCTTGAGCCGACATCAGGATCACTGGCAAGAGCGGTGTTGATGTATTCGGTGAATTCGACGCGCTCGTCCTCGTCGATAGAGTGCGATATCTCGGCGTGTGATCCACGCATCTTGAATGTTCCACTTCGTGTTCCTGGAACCATTGCAGCTGGAGCGTTGGATCGTAAGCGAGCGATAAACTAAAATATATTAGCACTAGAGCAGCTAAGAGTGCTGAAGGTGTACCTCGACCCAATCTTCAAGGGCTAGCGTATCGGTTGCATCAGCGCGGACAGTCTTCATCGTCTCTCGCGCTTTGTTGTATGTGACACCTTCATGTGCCTGTGCGGCTGTGATCGCTGCACTTTGAGAGATCCAACCAATTTTGGAGGATGGTATTTTACTATTTTAATCAGAACACGCCCAAATTGGGACACAAACTACACCGACTCACTGGAAACGTAAAATAATGGTAGATAAATTGTCTTCGGATAATTCATAGAACCGAGCCTTCAAAGCAGCTAGCTGAGTCGCAGACTGAGCTGGGGTGGCAGATGTTGGGACCGCAGGAAGGACAATCGCAGCGGGGCGGGCTGATGTCGTTGTCTTTTCATCCTTTCCTTCTTCTTCCACCTTGTGATTCCATCGACTGGAGACGGAATCGCGTCGAAGTAAAGTGGGACGATATCGAGAAGTCATGGCGAGGATGAGGATGGGCGGACTGGTGGTGGTGTGGACCTGATGGATTCGATGCTACAAATATAAGTGAAAGCAAGAAGATAGAGAGAAGGGAGCTACTTCGTTTTGAGTTCGTGGTTCAGGACTATGGCCATGTAAAGGACTCGCCTCGTGGCGTAGTTGCGGAGGCAGGCCGCCAATACTGCAAGTATCCAGTGCAGCGCACGCAATCACCAAACTGTAAATACGGTGAGTTTGTGTTAGGAAACTCCATGTAGAGCACTTCACGAAGTCCCCAGCCTGCTGAACCAAGCGGACGTGGCGTGGCTATCACTCCTCAGCCATCACGCCAATGAAGCGACAATATCTGGTGGATTCGATGGTTTGAGCTATACTGCCTGTTCTGAACAGCCCCTTCCGACATTCCGAAGAGGAGTGGCGATAGGTCGGTACCGTCTTAGTTGACCTTCGAGAGTAAAGGGATAAAGACAAACGCGAAACTGCCAGGGGCGTGAAATACTCGGATAGATACAGTCGACTCGACAGGGGATATCCCAAATGTTAGAAAGGGAGCTTTGTTCCAGCCGTCCTTCCCGTTCTTCGCTGTCATCAGGTCAGCTGATGGAACATTGAAAGGTGGAGGACATACGTTTCTCCATTCTGATATGCGTTGATCCATACCCTGTATCTGCTTTTGTATCTCTTTGGTTCTTCCTTTCTTCTCTCTCTCCCACTTTTGTAGTTTAAAAGCCTCCTTACGTCCTTCATACATTCCAAACCGCTTCCGAGGTGTCGGTTTCCCGTGCCAGGTCACTTCGCTTGTTTTCGCGATTGCAGACGTGTGCACCGGCCCTTGAACTGGAGTTACTCCAGCAACAGTTACGGTCGACCCTTTACTCCTTATAGATGCAAGTGCTTTATCCACACCACCTCCAATGACACGGGCCTGCGCTTTTGGGCCCGGGGGTAGAAATGTAAGGGCCGTAGGATCCTTGCCTGTACTGACGAGAAGTTTGGCAGCTTTAAGAAGCTCTTTCTGTCTCCTTAAAGAATATGAACTCGGGAGACGAGCTTTCCCATCTTCTCGCTTCACCCCAGGTAAAAAAGGATTGCGAAGGAGCGGAACTTTGACGCCAGGAGCAGGTTGATAGAGTTGAAGTGGTTTTCTGGCCAATTCACGGACTTTGAAGCGTTGGAAAAGTTTTGCTGCACGGACAACCTCCGTTTGAGACATTGCGGTCGTCAACAACTTGACCTTCACCACCTTCGAGTATCATGTCAAAACTAAACTTAGATATTATCAGCTTGATTCTCGATTTCATCTACTGGAAAGACGACCTCTCTGTCGATCGTCCTAGCCTAGCAGTTGCCAGTCAAATCTCAAGAGCATGGCGGCAAGCAGCCCAAGCTAGGCTGTTCCACTCTGTCATTATCGAAGCACGTTGGAGAATGTCAGCTTTTACGCGGAGTGCCCCTACACGCACACGACGGGGAAAGCAGCTCCGGGCGATAGTCAGGGAACTGACGTTTGTCCTGTCTAGCCATACTACTGTCATGGGAATAGCTCCCCCTCATTCGTTATTGGAGAAGGATCTCATATCGGTTCTGTCGGGGCTTCCGAACTTGTATCAGCTACGAATATACTCGTTCGCCGCAAAGGTGACGCGCGGCTTTCAAACGTCCCTAGCCGCTCCCAAAATGCCCAAGATACGCAGTATCGTTGTCGATTATGTCGCAGAGCCACCAGACAGGGAGCATCAAATATTCTTCGACTTCCTTTCACTTCCATCTGTCGAACGCGTGCTTTTCGTCGGAAAGGGGACTTACCGGTGGGCATCTCATACAAGGATCGCTCAAAGACCCCAGGCAGCATTGAAGGAACTCCGACTCGACTTGCGACACTCACAGCCCAGCGTCAGAGGGATCGACCTTTCTTGGGTCATCAGTGGCTCTCCGAACTCATTGGAGATTCTACACCTCTACGACATGGTATTGGACCCTACTATGACCGAGTTCTTGACCGAAGTGGCCCCCCGACTGGTCTCTTTCCATGTCAGTAGTAGTCGACATTCCGATCTCGCCGGCTTGGCCGATTGGCTTCAGTCGATGGCAAGGCTAAAGGAACTCGTCATACGAAATGACATGCCCTCCGCTGACTGCTTTCGTGTGGCCACAGACCTTCCTCGGGTGATGAATGTGTTGCCAGAATCAGTCCGTCATCTCGGTTTCGCCGTCGAAAGCCACTCGGCGCTGAGGATCGCACGATCCGAGCTCACTAAATGGAATCTGCGCACTGGAGTGTGTCTTAGCGTCCTGACGCTGGTTCTGTTGACAAATGGAGCATTTGGGCCTGACTGGGTAGATGTACCAGAGGTCAACCGTCTCAGGCTATTTCAGTTTACAGATAACGACATTCTGTTCGCTTTTGTAAGGAAATACGCTTGCAGTGGTCACATATGCTGACGCCTTCTTATAGTCTAGCCCTATGATCCCAGCGGTCAGATTCCCTCGTATCGTTGATTCATCAATTCTTGGCATCGTAATCAATGGGCAAGAGGAAGAAATACCAGAGAAAGCATCCAGTCGTAATCCGCTAAAGGTTCTACGACATTTAATTAAAGGAAGATAAAGGTGAGCAACACTTAACGTGAATTCAGTCAGCAGTACATCATGCAAGCCATCTACCGCCTGGCTAGAAATATGTCACCGAGCCGAGGTGCTTTCCGGGAGTGCAAGCTGTCTTCTATGACCCCATGGAACCGGGTAATCTGCCACCGGCTCATTAGTGTAATTGGGTGTAAAGTAAATTGTAGCAACACTAAAAATACAGGAAAGATGTCGATCAAACAAAAAGGACCCTTGGACAAGAAGGGATTTGAACCCTTGACTTCTCGCAAGCTAAATGCAAAGCGAACACGCTAACCGCTGCGTCACATGCCCGATCAACCCGGTTATTCAAGTATAACTATAGATCCTTTTTCATAATATTCTCGGAGAGCGGCGGAGGATATCTCGGTCTGGGCTCTTTTCACTTTGATTTAAACATCTGTCGACTATCTCATAGGCTGACCGTGGAACCCTTGGCATCCATGTGGTCTGCTTACAAAATGGAGTCCTCCCGGCACAAACATACGTGTGCGACCTTGAACCCGACCCACACATCGCTATGCCTTCTGCAATCATTTTTGGAGCAACCGGAGCAACCGGAAAGTATCTCCTAAGAAATCTGCTCGCTACGAAAGAGTTTACAAAGGTTGGCGAATACGGTCGTCGCGTCACCGCGCTCGACACTCTGCCAGAGGAGGAAGGTATCGACAAGACGAAGCTCGTACAAAAGGTGGTCGACATGGAAAGACTTGAAAATGAACAAGATTTGAAGCAGGACTGGGACGTAGTCTTCATAGTGTACGTTGGCTGCAATGATAGAATTGTCCAGAGCTCTGACGCAATTGATGATCTCCCTCAGGCTGGGAACATCAAGAGCAGCGGCTGGAAGCGCTGAGGCATTCGAAAAGATTGATAGAGAGTATGTCCATAATCCTGTCGAGTAGCGAAAATTTCACCTTTTTCCCCAAGATACGTACTCTCTGCCGCACGGGCAATTAAAACCAACGGGAACCAGCGTTTGGTTTACCTCTCCTCTGCAGGGGCAAATAGGGATTCCAAGTTCCTCTATATGAGGTCAGTTGTCCATGCTCGAAGTTGCTGGTCCTTCTCACCCCTCCATTACTTGTAGGAGCAAAGGCTTGACAGAGGATGGGTTGGCAGCATTGGGTTATAAAGATACCATTATTTTCCGGCCAGCAGCACTCACCGAACGTGGTAAAGGTGGGGTGGGCGAGCATATTTGGGAGTACGCACCTTTCTTTCTTCGCCGTATGTCTATACAAACTTACGGGTTCATGCAGAGGATTCCTTCGATCCGTTCCATTTATTAATGACAAGATACAAATAAAGGTATCGGAACTGGCCAAGGCCATCGTTCGAGGGGGCTTGCTAGGCAGCAATGGTTTGCCAGCCAATGCAGAGGCGAAAGAGATTGATGCAAAGGGAAATAAGTTTACGCTTATTGACAACATTGGTTGCCTTCGCCTGGCGAGTGGCTTCAAGGCTTCCTAACGAAGGAGCGCCGTCGGGGTTTCCGAGGCATGGCAGTAGATCCCTCATCGTAATTGAAGTTGTGATACATCTATCCTCATATGGTATGGTACAGGCTGTTCCCACGATATCCTATTCATAGGGAAGGTCAATATTTGCATCGAACACCGATACCGTGCATATCATCCGGAGACTTACATGAGAAGGACAAGAAGCATAGATAGCGTGAGTTTCTCCATTGATGGGAGTCCAGAGGTTCGATTTCACCAGGGAGGATGCTCGTGGCTACACCAGAGTTCGCCGTGGAATGTTTGCATTCTCGAGATGGTGCATCCGGTTTATATGTGTTATCTAAGTGGTTTGCCGGCCTAGTGGTCGGTCCATCGTCTAGTACGATTTGGGTCGGAGCCTCTGGCCTCAAGCCATATTAAGTGAGATCGACCTCGGGAGAGGGCTGATAGACTATCTCTGACTCATTTGACTGAAAATTCGCCGAGTAGTCCTTGCTGTAAGTGCATAGCAAAGGGTCTCTCCAATGCAGCTCCAGCTGGCAATGAACCCAAACAGGTAGATCCGACCACTGCCTCCTATCCGTTCGTTTATTGTAGCGGCACTGGATCCATCGTCGCTGCTGTTGCGGCTCGTTAACGTCAAAGCTGCGCCATCGGCATAGCCCAAGCCATCTCACCAAATCTTTCTCTTTATTTGAGCTGACGACTACCGACGAATATACATGTAATCCTCTTTCTCATGTCTATCGAGTTCGACGAACGCAAATATTAGCTGGAACGCTGTCGTCCTTAATTGCTGTCAAGAGAATTTGGAGATCGTCAAAAGGTTAGCCGACTTTTCGAGACCCCATCAGCAATCTGTCCCTTAGCTCTTTGACCTGGCCTCGCTCACCCGTTTCGTGTCGCAGCGCGCACCGACGCTTTCGTTTGGAGATCATTGCTGTTAAATCGCCAATATAATTCCGTTCTAGGTCTGTCCTGCAATCTCCTTGCTCGTCGCGCCGGCGCTCATATATAGATCAACCGCGCCAGATCCAGAGAGCCAGCTCGCTCTAGAGGAGACGCTGCGAATAAGTCAACTTGGAACGACGGAGAATAGCTCAACCGTATTTCCAAACTCCTGTATCCCTTCCTCCCCCTTAACACCATTCCCACCGGAATAGCGACTCAGAGGAGCTCGGAGACCAGACGCCCATGTCTCTGCGAAAGATAGCAAATTCTCTCAGTAGACCAAAAGAGAGAAATCGAGGGAATAGTGCCTCGTCAACCGCATCCTGGTCGCCTTCGAACTCCCGGTCCCACACTCCATTGAGCTCGTCTATCTCCCTGCCAGACACAGTCAACGGTTCAGAGCAACAACGACATAATTCCACTTCTCTTCCACCTCAATCTCATCAGTCGATCGGTTACGCGTATAACCCGAACCCCACTCCCCTCCGTATCGTCGCTCCTTTCGTGTACAACGCACCCCCGAAGGCCTTTGAATCCAGTTCCTCTCTTGGAAGCAATGAAACTACAGACTCTGAGACGAAGACACTACGGTTGAAACGGTCTCTCAACAAGATTCTCTCCCCGAAGGAACAAGATTTCTCACATGATTATCATTATCAAAAGCAGGCCGACTCACGGAAAAATAAAGACTCGAAGCGATCACGAAAGGGTTCCTTGTCCGGAGGGAGTACCAGCGATGGCGTGTCATTCTTTGACGAGAACAAAAGCTCGACAGGGAGCCTTGGCAGCTCTGGGGGGACAACAAAACGTTTTGTGTCATGGATGAGCCAGAGACAAAATGGAGTAGCCAAGAAAGTCAATGATGTTCTGAGAAGGGATGCAGGGTCGACCAATGGAGCAGCAAACTCACCAGGTCGTTCTCAACCCATAGTGAGCAGGATATCAAGCGAATATCGTGAAGAAGATGACGATCGTTCGTCTGTATCATCTGCCCAATCTTTTGTTCAGATGGCACCAGAAGACGAGGTCTCACGGATACTCGCTGAGCCGGACATTATACCCAGCCTGAACATGAACCAAACACCCTTTCAAATACCTCCAGCAGTTGTACACGTACCAAGGTCTCATACCAACCTTCACGCATTGACACTCACATCGCTTGCATTCCCACCATCACCACATCCGTTGCTCTATAATCCAAGCCTTCCTGCATTCCCTCGCTCCTCTAATGCTTCCTCCAAGCTTCCACGGCTACCCACATTTAGAGCCCACTTGGCCAAAACGCGCATTTTGGATCGACTAGAAGCACAAAACTTGACTCAATCGGAGAACGAATCAATACTGCCGTTTGGGAAAAGAGATGACATTATGCAGAAGGAGAATGGACCAGGGAATCCACCTTCAGAGACTGGAGAGAACGAGGAAGGGCGGAAAATCAATGACAGCCCTGGCCAGAGCGTTGGATTAGAAGCATGGACAAGACGAGGAGCCTTTTTGCAACGCGTTAGAGTCTGGCAGTATGATGGAACGCGACCTCAGACCAATGATGGAGAGACCATAAGATACGAGGCGGTGAGCTCGCCATATAGATCGGCGCTCAAGATCTCCAATGGCATCAAGGCCCTTGCAGGACTTGTGAAGGCGAGGCCAGAGTCTCGAGAATTACCAGAGCTTCCGTTATCTGCCGTAGGCGCATCGACACCAATGATCAAGCCCCCTTCTGTTCTGGAGTCACTCTCGCCGCAAAGCCTCAGTTCATCGCTGGTGATCGATGAATCAATGTTGATGGACTATCCGGATATTAGCCCGAGCTTCGCGCCAGATTCAATCGTGATAACCGTACCTCCAGCCGTCGCTTCTGTCTCGGTTGCCTCCCCACGTCCTCTCCCTACAGTCCCGCCTGTGCGACCTACAGAGCCCCTTATTTCTTCAGATCTTGCACCACCAGCCGACCTTATACTCACAGATGACCCTTCGCCGGTGATTCCGGTTCGACCACTTCCTCCAGTTCCGCGACCGCTCCCTATCCCACCTGTTGCACCTGCTATCACCACCCACGTGATTGTCGATGAGTTGGAATCAATAGAAGGCCCAGTCGTAGCCACCACGGTATACCAGACGGACGATAGTGAGTATTTCATCTCTATTTTCACAAAGTGCTCTGCCTGACATTCGATAGTTTCTCAATCTTACCATCTATCTCCACCGAGCTCCACACACGGCCATACAGCTCATGCGCATGTGGGGATCCCGTCTACTTCAACAATCACATCAGCACCTCACACACCACTGGATCCATTGGAGACGGAAAGTACGAGGAGACTTTCGATTGGCTCTATCAGCGTTGTGATGTCAGGTCCAAGTGGGTTCTCGTTGGAGGAAATGGACGGCCTCGAGGTCACTAGTCCACACGACTTCGATAACAAGCGACGCAGCGTGGCAAGTTTGAAGCTGAACGTTCACAAACGGCTTTCCATGGCGTCTCGTGCATCTCGTGCATCCTCTCCATCCCTGCGCAATCACCCACTACCACCCGTGTCCGAATCGTCAAGATATTCGGAGTCTTCTCATCTTTCCTCGACCTCGAGACACACTCCTACTGGCTCGGCTGCTACCTCAGTGGAGAAGTTGCACCGACAATTCAGTCCCAGTATGAGCTCTCTCCCACCATTGGAGGTGTTAGAAGACGAGCTGTCACCAAATCAGGTGGTTATTATCGAGCCATTGCAACCTCTCATCGAGAATATCAAGGGAGACGACTCACAACCTCATTACGAGCCATCAAGAAAGTCAGAAGAGAATGTAGACCCATTCCTCGTTCCTCGTCTATCTGCTGTCGGCGTACCACCCGGTGGAGAGGAAATCAAATTCCCTGGATTG